ATCCTGGAATTTCCTCCTTAAGGGCATTGTGGGTCAACCCTCAGCAGGTGGACTGCAGCGGTTCAAGAAGGCAGCTCACCCCCACCTTCTCAAGGGTAACTAGGGATGGGCAACAAGTGCTGGCCTGCCAGCAACGCCCACATCCCACAAATGAATTTTAATAAAAACTCTAGATTCGTTTCCTCTGAGAATGAGAGAGAGGTTGGTATGACCGAAGATGAAAGTGGCTGGGACTTCTGTTACAGTTGCCACAGGTGGGGAGGTGTCCCGAGTGAATGAGTGAGTGAGTAGGCAGGACAGAGAGGGAATACAGGATGAGTGGTGTCAGTTTTGGAGAGGGTAACAGCAATGGGGGGTAGATGCTGCAGGCAATAGTGAGCAGTAGAATGAGTCCTGGTGGGGCTCAGCAGCAGCGATAGAGTATGAGGTATTGGAGGCAGATGGCGGATGGTGCTGGTAGATTAGAGAAGATCAGTGACCTTCCTACAGTTCTGGGCATTCCTCCAGATGCCTGAGACTGTTTTTACTCAGTGGCAACCTCAGACCAGGTCTGGTGTCATGGTCTGTAATGCTAGTCCTAGACAGTCTCCAAGCTAAGTCCTAACCAGGCCCAAGTCCACTTAGCTTCCTGGATCAGAAAATCCATGGCTGCAGATTGAAGCGCTTCCTTAGTCAACCTATTCATTCATCCCAAGTTGCCCTTGAGAAGGTGGTGGTGAGCTGCCTTCTTGAACACTGTAAATCCATGTGCTGTAGGTGGCTTGGTGGTTAGCACTGCTGCCTCACAGCGCCAGGGACCTAGGTTCTATTCCAGCCTCAGGTGACTGTCTGCATAGAGTTTATACTGTGTCTCTGCGGGTTTCCTCTGGGTGACATTCAGAACATAATATAAAAAAAAGACCTTATGAGGAAAGAAAGCTAAGATGCTTAGGGGAACAACTTGTGCTGGAGGAAATGAACCAGGCTGGGTGAATCTCAGACCAAAGAAAACAGAACTGCTGATGCTAAAGATCTGAAACAAAATCAGAAATTGTTGTAGAAACTCTGTGGAGAGAGAGAAAGCAGAGTTAACGTTTCAGGTCCAGTGACCCTTCTTCAGAAGAAATGTTGACTCTGCTTTCTCTTTTCGCTGGAGCTGCTGAGTTTCTCCAGCAGTTTCTGATTTTGCTGTGAGTGAAGCTCAGGCTCCAGTTGTAAGACCTGACAAACTTGCTTTCAATGATTTCCATATGTTTACCACTGACATTTTGTGCCACGTCAATCCTCACATCTTCTACATAGCTCCCCGCCTCCTGACTAAAACAAAATTGTTGAGACTCGGAGTCCTTTGAAAATTTTAAGGCTGAGATTGATAGACTTTGTTACTGTTTTGGAATACGCCAGCACAGGAGTTTTGGGAGTCAAAGGAGACAGGGAAATATTGGTTGCATATTGGGATGGCATGGTGGGCTCGGTGGTTAGGGTTTCAATGCCAGGGACTGGGGTTTATTTGCACCCTCGGGTGATTGTGTGGAGTTTGCATGCTGTCCCCTTGTCAGCGTGAGTTTCCTCCCACAGACCAAGGATGTGCAGGTTAGGTGGATTGGCCATGCTAAATTTCCTGTGGGATCCAGGGATATGCAGGCTGGGTAGGTTAGCCATGGGAAATGCAGGGTTACAGGGATACGGTGGGGGTATGGATCTGCGTAGGTTGCTCTTCGGAGAGTCGGTGTAGACTCAATGGGCTGAAGAGTCTGCTTCCACGCTCTAGGGATTCTATGATTCTATTTGATTGTAAGAACTTTGTCAAAATAGGTGTCCATCTTCCCCTTCCCCCAGTTCACAATGACACTGACAGCTTGGGTTCAATTCCTGTGGCAGCTGAGGTTACCATGAAGGACTTTGTTTCTCAACCTCTGTCCTCACCTGAGGCATGGTGTCCCTCAGGTTAAACCACCACCAGACGTCTCTTTCTAACGAGAGAGCAGCCCTATGGTCTGGTAAGACAATGGCGACCTCACCTTTATCCTTTAATTGAGTAACAGGACCTATCTTGCTTAACAGCCTGTTCCTGTTCCTAATTCATCCGTTCAAGATCCAGCAGGAATGCCGATAGATGGTCCATTGGCTTCAACATAAAGCTGCATGAAGAAGCCTAGCCTTTAACACCTGTGGTTTGCAATAGCTCTGTCTATGTGTTCTGTGCAAAGAAGGGAATATTCCAGAATAAATTTTGGGAGGCTCGTAGAGGAAACGGTGAAATATTGGTCGCAGTTAATCAGAGGAATTTCATCAAAAAAGAAGCTGTCCTGCACCCCCCCACCCACCCCAGTTCACTATAGAGAAATGGAATAGCACTGAGTCTCACTATTACAGTCTATACAGTGCCATAGCCTTGCACCCTGTGCACAGGAAGTTGTGTCTGTTATACTGTCTGAATACACAGTTCAAAGTGTTGCCAACTCAAACATCCTCTCTGGAAAAGGCAAGGCCTGACTTAAGTAAAATTTTCAGCTCTATTCTGTTTCCTTTCATTTGAAGGGAGTGTATCTTTCGCTCCCCCTGCTTACCCACATACCTTAATGTCAGCCATTTGTCAGGAGTATAGGCTTTCTTGACAGTTACCTTTGATGTGGGGGGTGGGGGTCACAGCAACGTTGGGAATGGTGGTTGCAGGCAGAGAGTGGGGTGGGGGCCAGATACGCTGAAGGTCCGACCGAATCCAAACAAGCAAATTACCCAAAGCAGGCCCAAGTCCAATCCCAAACCAGGGTCCAAATTGTCACTCAGGTCAGTGTTAACAGGAGACCTGCATTTACCTGGCACCAGTCACGTCCACGCAGGGCATCCCAAAGCACTTCACTACCAGTGAGGTACCCTTTTAAAAAAGTAGCTGGCTGTTGGGGAATTAGGAAACGTGGTGCCCGATTCATACACAGCAAGCTGCCACAAACAGCAATGGCAGAAGGACCAGGACATCTTTTGGCCATTAACCTGGGACGTAGAGTCATACAACGCAGAAACAGACCAACTGGTCCAACCAGCCCATGCCAACCATAATCCCAAACTAAAATAGCCCCACCTGCCTGCGTTTGGCCCATATCCCTCCAAACCTTTCCTATTCACGTACTTATCCAAATGTCTTTTAAACGTAGTAACTGTACCCGCATCCACCACTTTCTCAGGAAGTTAATTCCACACACGAACCATTCTCCTCAACCCCATGGGATTTTACCACCAGAGACGTCAGACGGGGCTTCAGTTTAACATCTGAAATGGAAACCATTGCAGGAGTCTCTCAGCTATGAGCCTTCTGCACTTCCACACAAAGAGCTTTGCTGCATGCCTTCCCCCTGATGGGTTAAATAACCACATGGGCAAATACATGTGTTGCTCATGGTGTGAATTTGTACCTTCAGGAGAGGAAGGGGCGAAGGAGAAGGTTTGAATGACATGGCTCAATGGCCCAGATCTTCCGAGAGGAGCGACATAAACAAGAGATCCAAGTTAGGGCCATGTGGAATCCCCAAAGCAGTTAGTCTGCAGGAACTTCCCAGTATTTGAAGGCTTCCAAAACAGTCCCGGCTCGAGGTTAGATTCGGAGACTGACTGAGCTGAATCCTTATTCAACGTGATTTAGAGGAATTAGAGGTAGAGGATGCGCTCACCATAGCCCCTTTGCCAGCCTACACCCACTCACTTACCTTACTTACTGACCTCTCAGTAATGGTCTAGGTGGCTTTAAATCACAGAATCTAGTTACTGCTGAAAAGGGGGGGAGAGAGAGAGAGGGGGAGGGGTTTAGTGGGGATCATCCCCCAGCCCCCACCCCTGCCCCCAAATGCTGGCCACATGAGTTCAGCAGGGAAGGATCATGGACCCACATTCCATCTGAGAAATTGCACCCAAGTTATGTGGCAAATTTTAAAATCTGGGTCAGAAATACGGATCGTCACGCAAACAGGGAGATTCAGGCCACTGTTTTGAACAATTGAAACTCTCCAGTTCAACCAGCAGGAGTCTTTTTTTTATTCTTTCACAGGATCTGGGCATCGCTGGCAGGACCATCCCTAATTGCCCTCGAGAAAGTGGTGGTTTCTTGAACCACTGCAGATGTTGGGTAGGGTTGAGGGAGCCAGCTCTAGATGTACCCACAATGCTATTCAGAGGAGATTTTGACCCAGTAACTCTGAGATCCTAATGATATAATTCCATGTGAGCATGCTGTGAGGTGCGAAGGGGAGCTTGTAGGTAGTTTGGAGCTGGAGGAACACAGCAGGCTAGGCAGCGTCAGAGGAGCAGGAAAGCTGACATTTCGGGTTGGGACCCTTTTATCTGATGAAGGGTCCTGACCCAAACGTCAACTTTCCTGCTCCTCTGATGCTGCCTGGCCTGCTGTGTTCCTCCAGCTCCACACTGTGTTATCTCAGACTCCAGCATTGGCAGTTCTTACTATCCCTGAGCTTGTAGGTAGTTTTGCGTCCATGCTAGATGGCCGGTTTGCGATGCAGAGTGACGCCAACAGTGTAGTTCCAGTTCCCATGCCAGCTGAGGTCACCATGAGGGACTCTCCTTCTCAACCTCCCCCCTTGCCTGAAGTATGGTGAACCTCAGGTTAAACCACCACCAGTCATCTTTCTCTCTTTCTCCAATGGGAGAGCAGCCCTATGGTCTGGTGAGACTGTGGTGATTTTACCTTTCTTTGCCTTCCACGTATTTGCCACCCTTGTCCTTCTGGATGGTAGGAGCTGCTGTCAAAGTACAAACCCATTGTCTGTCTAGACTGCCCTGTGATGGGCCCAGTTCCATATAAATAGAAAATGTGCAGTCCACAAGACTTCCACACCTGGAATAAGGAGAACCCAGTGCCTTGCTCTGCTTTCACTTTTACTCAACGGCCCTACCACAGACTGGGTTAAAAATGTCTACCAAAGGCCTTTTTAAACTTGAAGATTGTTATAGAGACAGTTAGCACTGCTGGTTCTAAACCTCTTAGTTTCACTCCATGCTGTTGTCTGCAGGAAGTTGAAGTAAAGACGTCTCATGTTCTGTGTGATGAAGTATTTGTTCTGTCAAATGGTATTGAGGCTGATTATCTTGGGGGTGATCAAGTGGAGAAAGGTAGGAGAAACCCTGTATCCATAGGAGATGAGAAGAATGAGAGGTGATCTTGTTCAGTCATATAAGAGGAGTTGACTGGCTAAGATGCTGAAAGGATGTTCTCTCTTGCTGGAGAGTAGTAAGAAACTACAGAGAGTTATGAACACAGCGCAGACCATCATGCAAGCCCACTTCCCATCCGTTGACTCCATCTAGACTTCTCGCTGCCTCAGAAAGGCAGCCAACATAATCCATGACCCCTCAGCCCTGATTATAATCTCTTCCATCGGGCAGAAGGTACAAAAGCTTAAACGCGCATACCACCAGATTCAGGAACAGTTTCTCCCCCCTGCCCTGCTATTAGACATCTGAATGGACCTCTCAAATTTTAAATTTAATATTGATCTCGGTCTCTGTGCACCTTCTGTGCAACTGTAACATTGTATTCCTCGCTCTGTTTTATTAACCCAAAGCACTTTGTATGGTGCGATCTGCCTGTATTGCACGCAAAACAAAACTTTTCACTGTACCAAGGTACACATAATAGAATCCCTACAGTGTGGAAGCAGGCCATTCAGCCCATCAAGCCTACACCAATCTTCCAAAGAGCATTCCAACCAGACCCACCCCCTATCCTGTCCTTGTAACACCCATTTCCCATGGCTAATCCATGTAGCCAGCAGATACCTGGACAGTACAGGCAATTTAGCATGGCCAATCCACCTAACTTGTCCATCTTCGGACTATGGGAGGAAACAAGAATACCAGAAGCCCATGCAGTCACAGGGAGAATGTGCAAACTCCACACAGATGGTTACCTGGTGCTGTGAGGCAGCAGTGCTAACCACTGTGGCAACGATAAATCAAATCAAATCAAAATCAAAAGAACTAGGGAATGGTTTCTCCATATCAAGAGGGAAAGCAGCTGCAAACCCTGCAGCAAAGTGGTCATCTCACTGATCACAGTCGTGAGGTTCAAACAAGGAGGACCAGGAAAGGAAATGCAGATTTCAGAGATTCCTGCCACTGCAGGTGTCCTGCATCTGGTGCAGTGCACTCGGTACCTAGACTAATGCACACATCTAGTTTTTGCATTTTTAACACAGTTTGACTGCACCTGCAGATCCTCCCCAGTAAAATCAGAACACAGTTTTTAAAAACGCTACAGTCCGGTTGTGGTAAAATATCTTACGATTCCACTCAATGTTAACTCTGACAGGAGTAAGCGGGCTGGGACTAAGTGCTTTAGCCCTGAAAAATAGCATAACATTGGTTTCAGGCAGTAATCCAGAGATGGTTAATACTGGAACAGAAAGCAAAGGAGCAGAAAAGCCACCAGCAGCAGCCTTCATGTGCTCACTTATTTACAATGTTAGTTTTCATTTTCCTGCATGCTTCTCTTTTGAATCCTGGTGTTTTGCAGATTCCACATGGATATGATGCTGTCTTGGGTGGCTGCCATTTCCCTGTCTTTGTATCTAAGGAAATGCTTTAACTCAATGACTCAGGTCCGCTTTCTGAGCTGAAACATCTTGAGAGAATTTCCACACGCTGCTAAATATTTACAAAATGCTCCTCACAATAACAGCAATAATGTGTTTGGCTTTCTGTCTCTCTCCCTTCTTGTTTCATTCCCCCTCTCTTTCTGATTCCCCTCTTTCTCTCCACCTCAGGGTTAGCTTACCGTCTGTCTCTACTTCTCTGTGTCAATCTGCTTCTCTCTCTCTTCCTCTCGCCCTCTCCCAGTCACAATCCCAATACTTGTCTTGCTGTATTTCTCCACAGCCCTTTTCTGAGACAGCCCTTTTCAGAGGCTTTTTCGATTTACGTTCCAGCTGAACATGTTTGTATTTCTCTCCCTGCACGCATTCTCTCCCTCTGTCTGTTCCTGTTTGGATATCTCTGCCTCAATTTGTTATTGTCTCAGTCCCTTTCAGTGGATCTCTCAGTTCTTTCTTTTGCTCTCTCTATCTCTTTCCCTCACTCTCTCCAAAACTGTCCATCCTATATTACTCTTTCTTACCGTCACTAGATCTATTCTGTTTTCTCTTTTCCTTTCTATCTTTTTCCATTTATTTCATTTGGCCTCTTTTTCCAACGTTCGTTCTTGTTTTCTCATGTCCCTCTTTCTCACTCTTTCTTTCGCTCTGTCTCTCTCTTGCCCTTTCTCCATTTCTGTCTCTACTACCCCAGTCTTTCTCGTTCTCTCTAACTCTCCCTCTGTCCCCCTTTGTATCTTTCTGTCTCTGTTCACTCCAGTTGTCCTTGTAAGTTGCTGCTTCACCAATTGTAATTTATTTCAGGAAGATAGTAATTTATTTCGGACTGTGTTACAACTGATGAGCTGAGATAGTTGTAATGTGCCAGAGGAAATCAGTCTGTAACAGACTCTGCAAACAGGAAGAGATAGTGAAGAGCTAACACATCCAGTGAATTGAAAGATTCAATTCTGAGCTCTCAAGGACATGCTTACCACAGGCTTTGCAATTCTTTACCGTGAGAGGAGGCTTTGTTAATAGAATCATAGATCAGCTTCAACCCAGAGGGAGGTCATTCGGCCCATTGCGTTTTGTGCTGGCTACTTCCAAGAGCAATTCAGCTAATTCCTTCTTTGTAGGCCTCGCCTGCTGGGCCAGCATTTATTGCCTGTTCCTAGTTGCCCTTGAGAAGGTGGTGGTGAGCTGCCTTCTTGAACCACTGCAGTCCACATGCTGTAGGTGCACCCACAATGCCCTGGCATGGTTCTGGGATGGCACCGTTGGTGATTAAATCACCTTTTCGCTCCCAGACCTTCCTTTCCCAGGCATGGAAGACTCCACGCCCCGTGTGACACCTTTCTATGAGTCATTTTGTCCCCACATCCAATTCATGTTTGTATTGCTAACGCACTTGTCTGTAGTCTTTAGAAAGCAGGAACAAAAACAGAAATTACTGGAAACTAGTAGCAGGGGGGAGGCGATGGCCTAGTGGTAATCCAGAGACCCAGATAATATTCTGGGGACCTGGGTTCGAATCCTGCCATGGTAGAATTTGAATCCAATAACTATCTGGAATTAAGAATCTAATGATGACTGTGAATCCAGTGTTGATTGTTGGGAAGAACCCATCTGGTTCACTAATGTCCTTTAGGGAAGGAAACTGCCATTCTTACCTGGTCTGGCCTACATGTGACTCCAGGCCCACAGCAATGTGGTTGACTCTTAGCTACCTTCTGGGCAATTAGGGATGGGCAAAAAATGCTGCCTAGCCAACGATGCCCTCATCGCCTGAATGAATAGAGCGGAAAAGAAAAAGCAGGAATAGGCCATTCAGCCCTTTGAGCCTGCCCTACCATTCAATATAATCATGACTGACTATCAAGCTCAATACTTCATTCCTGCTTTTTCCCCATTCCCCTTGAATCCCTTTAACCCAAAGAACTATATCTAACTCCTCCTTGAAAACACTCAATTCTTTCACCTCAACTGCTTTCTGTGGCAGAGAATTCGTCAGGCTCACCGCTGTCCCAGGTTTCTGAGTAGGAGTGGACCATTTATTCCTGCAGATTCTCCGACAATCTTGGGAATCCAGGGGAGGGGATCAGTCTCATTAAATTGCAGTGTGTTCCCTTGATCTGCTGATTTAAAACCTGCTGGGCCTCTCTCGCTGCACAATCAAGGCCATCTGCTCACTAGGCCGCATCCTCACCTACTGGCTAAAGTTGACCTCTCCACTTCTGCCCCATCTAAGACAGATGTTTGGTGGAGCCAAAAGGATCTGCCTGAAAATACTTGCACCCTCTCCTCCGGGACTGCGTACATTAATTGACTCAATTGACCAGATTGCAGTTCCCACCTCTCCTCCAAACCACAGAGTTAGAAGTGACACGACACATGTTATAGTCCAGTAGTCTAACACCTGAGGAAGGACTGAGCCTCCAAAAGCTTGTGTTTTCAAATAAGCCTGTTGGACTATAACCAGGTGTCGTGTGATTTCTAACTTTGTCCACCCCAGTCCAACAGCGGCACCTCCACATCAAACCACAGAGAGTAAGGATGTCTCTGTCAACTTGAACTTAAGAACCCTGCCACGTTTCCAACTGCAGTCACTCCCCATGCGAATTTGGGGCGGTGGGGGGGCGGGGGGGGGGGGGGGGGGGGTGGTGGTGCGCAGAGGGTTGGGGAAGGGGGTGGAAGTGGGAAATGACCAGGTCCACGGGAGTTCACACAGAGAGGAGGAGGAGAGGCAGAGAGTGAAGGAAAGCATCTCCTCTGGTCTGGGGAGCACAGAACCAGGAGGTGCAACCTTAAAATGAGGGATAGGCCACTCAGTTCCCACAGTCCTTTGGAAGATCCTGAATTCACGATTCCTTACCCCTGGCCAAACGAAAAAGCTGTGGAGGTTGGTGGAGGGAGATTCATTTGGAAATGTCAAAGCTACGGTAATGTACTTTTGAAGAGGAAGATCAGTCACGTCATGGAGGATAAGAGAGATTGAGGCACACACTAGCTGTTGAGCGGTGGAACAGGGTCATGAGTCAAAATGCCTGTAACCCCTGTGCTATCCCACACCTTCCATTGGCTTAAATGCTATGTGTAGTTGTTTGAAATGCAGGATTCAACAGGGAAGGATATCCTTGATCAGGACAAAACTAACATTGAAACAATGGCTATTTGGTGTGGAATTTCCACAGGCCCCTTCTGTCTCTTCCCCTCTGAAAGCTACAACGCCAGTGGAGCTGCAGCAGTGGGGGATCCAGGATATGGAATACCTTTGGATTCGGGCCCAACAAAAAGAAACTCTGTGCTCCTTCAGATTGTTGGAATTCCAGGTTGCAGCAATTCTGTTTGTTCTTCGATGAAAGGCTCCTGTTAAGTCATTATCACTCTGTCTATATACTAGGAGAGGTTAAGGTCTTTTGTAGCCCAGTGTCAATTTTATGGTTTTCTGTTAATCGCAAAATTCAGAAGAAACTGAATGAACCGAACATGGCAACGGGAGATAGAGCAAGAACTGCCGATGCTGGAGTCAGAGTCAATACAGTGTGGAGCTGGAGGAACACAGCATCAGAGGAGCAGGAGAGTCGACG